TTACTGTTGCTGTCGCTGGTGTAAACCACGTGTTTGATGCTTATTGCCTTTGATATGATTCTTTTTTACTTTTTATAATGTCTTATTGACGGACGGACAACCAATACTTTACAAACTTCCTGCTTTAAATTGAAAAAAAAACTTCAAAACATAACTTGCGAAAACATGACTTTAGCTTTGTTTCTTTTTTTTATATTTGTTTTTGTTTAATTTATACTGTCGTTAATTAAAAAAAAATCTTACAAATTAGTATAAGAGATTTTTTATGTTAATGTTTTTTTTTTAAAAAATCTTATTAAAGTTTATTAAGTTTAAAGTTTTCCTTTTCGATATAATAAAAAAAATTTATAATTTGATATTTTCGCTTCATTTAAAACAAAATAATTTTACTACCTATATTTTTAATCTATTTTGGTTTATGTTATTTACTTTACATTTAATATTTTTCTAGATATTTTTTATAATGAAATTTCAAGTTACATTTTACATATGATTTAGCTCATGTTGTCAATTAGCACTACCATTACGTCAGTCTAACCTAATTTTTACCCACATATTGTTTTATTACTCACTTTAAAACTTATACACTAATTTCCCTTTATTCCTGTACTCACTAATTTTATATAAACAATTTCTTAGTATTACTTGCATTTATTATATGGACGCTCACCTTTCTAGATATTGTGTTCCTCATCTGATACTGGAGGTAGGTGTGTTGGAGGATAATGTCTTATTATCGTTTGTAAACTTGAGTTACACTGCAGTGTTGGTTCTTCACGATTGTCATTGTATCTTAATTTACTGTCAATACTGTACGCTATTATGAATAGCACCAAAACACAAACCACCGCGGCCACTCCTACTGCTGTAGTAGTAATTTTATAAAATTCTAGCTCCTTTATCTTTTTTACATTTGCTTTTTGAGAAACCACTAATCGTCAAAAGTAAATTTTCGGTTCAATATAACCTTGCTCTTCTCTGGAGGTAGCACAAAAGTTTGCTGAAACTTCCCCACGGTATTTCGAAAAATTTTGTTATTTATTATTAAGGAACAGTTATTGTAATTAATGAAATAGCTTCACTGTAAGGATAAAACCCTTCCATACTATTAAGTTTTCCATTGTTCATACTTATTAGTATTAATTATTATATGATTGTCCATTTCGGTCACTGATTCCTTTAATTTCTTATCATATTAATAACTCGCACTCGGTTTTAATTTATAAAGTGCTTTGTTTTCTTCATACTTATACCGCATACTATTCACCTCCACAATTGTTTCAATATCTGCATGTATTTGATTTCCTGATAGAACAGGTACAATAATGTTATTTTGTACCGTAACGGTTTCAGATGGCACCTTAATCACTAGCAGAATTGAGTGATCCATTAATGTTGCCGTGCGTAGTTTCAGCAGTCTTATTTTGTGAAAATTTATGTCGAATTTTTCTATTTTTTGTTTCGCAAAAATGTTGGGTTGGATATTACCTGATTTTACCGCCGGCACATTGAATTGAAATTATTGAATTTGTTGACGCAAACTCGAGATTCCGAATAGCTGTGTAATAGCCTTTGCGATTTCCCATATCTGAGTTCTTAGCTCATCCCACATTTTTACATCCGTCTTTAAATATTCTCCATTCTCGATTAAACTTTTATCTTCATCGTCTTAAGCACCGAATGCCCAGTTCAATATTCGTCCACCGACATTCAGCAGCCCTCTTTTTATTCAATTCGGCATTAACGTGTGTAACATATTTTCTGCTGCATTCATTTCCTACTAACAGTGACTTATAACTACCAACTATCGTGAGGTTGCTAGTCCGCTCTTTAAAAATGTTTAACATTTCCGCTACTTCCTCCATATTTATCTAATGAATTATGAAATTGTATCTTTTAACTATCTCGACTTCTCCTACACTAATATCTGTGTACCATTCTCCAGACTCAGTTTTTTCAATGTAAAGCTCCCCGATAACTGTAGACATTAAACAACAAGTGAACAGCGTGAACTAAAAGGAAAACAAAAACGAATTCTACGAGGGCTGCTACATATATTTCTGGCCTAGGCAACACTAAGTGTTGTCACGTGCAATCTGACATTTCCATTGGAAAGGTTGACATTTTTTCGCATAACATCACTCAGAACGTGTTGTTATTTAATTGTGAATTGTTTTATTTACAGAGATTTGAAAAATTCATCTCGGCCAAAAAATGGAATTAATAGTGAACATTTTCGTGCGATCATTTTTCACAACTTTCGACATGGATTATCACGACAAGAGTGCATTGATGAACTTAAATCTTGGTATGGCGATGAAGCACCATCCTATAGCACTGTGAAAAACTGGTTTAATGAATTCAATTGTGGCCGACGCTCGCTTAATGACGAATTCCGTGAATGTCGTCCAAAAACGGTCGTTTTGCCAGAGAACTTTGATGCCGTGCGTGAACTGATATTGCAAGATCGTCATGTGACATACCGTGAGATAGAGGCATTCTTGGGCATTTCTCCCACCAGCATACATTCGATATTCGATCCCGCACAATTTGACAATCGCTCAAAAAAGGCTCGTATCGATTAGAGCAAAGAAATGTTGCAAAAATACGTTCGCGGTACTTCAAAAGACGTTTATAAGATCGTCACAAGTGACGAATCATGGATCTATGATTCGTCACTATGCCGAAATAAAACAACAATAGACCGTGTGGGTCTTCGAAAACGAGCCAAATACAACGAAAGTTGTTCGTGGAAGAAGCACGTCGAAGCAAATGGCCGCCTGTTTCTTCGACAAAACTGGTCATGTGACGACTGTTCCGCTTGAGCAACAAAGGACGGTCACTTCTGAGTAGTACACCACAATTTGTTTGCCTGAAGTCTTTGGAGGAATTCGAAAAATGAAAAAGAATAGACGAATCATTGTTCACCATGACAAAGCAAG